TAGCATGTATTTAGGCGCCTGGTGTTAGCAGACGCGCCTAAACATACTTAAAAAATAAATAAATAAATTACGTTATTTAATGTCACTGATATTGAGAGGTGACTCAAAAATCACACACAATGATTTCCTCACGCGGCTTTTCATCTGAATAAAGTGCTAAAACTTGAGACGTTGAAAGTCTGAAAAACTTGATATGAAGTTCTATTTACTCTACATGGCTGTTTCCGGTCAAGTGACCAATGGAACGAATCTTTTTTTGGCTCGGTTAAAATCACTTATGGTCTGATTCAGACAACTTAACGTAACTTACAGGTTCTCTCTTAATAATTAACTTAAATTTATGTTACTTATAATTGAACACATTGAAACTTAACTTAATGCAACGTCGAAATCTGTTTCATTTTGATTATCCAGAAGTTGCCATAATTAGGCTTTTAGACGGTTGCTGCGCCAACTAAAAAGAAGACCAAGAATCTAAATGAAATGTTCGGTAAAAAAATAAGTAAGGAATTAGAGGTGTCATAAAGATTTTACTAAATAAATTTTTTAGATGTTTTAAAGTAGGGGGTGGCTCACTTTCCGTGTGACTCACTGTATATCGTCTCCAGTCACTGCAAGTATTTTGTCGTCGTTTACCAAAACATTTGAGTTATTCGAATTTAGTAAACTATGGGCCAATTTTAGTTGAGCGATTTAAGTAAGTTAATGAACAATAACTTCATAAACTCGTTTTCATATCGCATATTTAATCTGCACGTAAATGGTCACTATTTACTATTTAAATATGAAATATGCAACCGTGTGTTTGTACCAAACATAAATTAGTCTTCACCACAAACTGTAAAAAGAACAAATGCAACAACAATTTCCAGGAACATGCCACAGTGTGGCCACTTATTTTTAATATTTAAATGAAGTTGATCTGACATCAACGAAAGCTAAATAGCATTTAAATTAAAAACCAAATTAGCCATTAGGAGGTGATCCTAGTTCAAAAGAGTCGGTGAAGGATGTTAAGTGCCTTAAAACTATTCTTTCCACAATAAATCGAGTTGTAAACAAAAACGTTAAAAACGAATTTCGATTTTGGCTGTTTTTAGGAGACGCAAGGAGGGAAAATTGTATGGTCTATGGCCTCCTCTAAAAGTAACTGTTTTATCTATTTATTTACGTACATATTTATTTACTTAACAATTTTTATTGTTTTATCTTTTTGGAGAACCAACCCAGTCTAATGCGTAGGCTCATTAATCTAGCTAGAGAATGTACATTTGTTTCCCAAAATTTACCCAGTACATCTGGCATCCCCAAAAACTTAACAAACACAAAAAGTGCATTACAATGGCTTCAACTGTCTTCAGAATTGCTCGCATTACCAAAATTAATTTTATACCAGCATATCAGATTCATAAATAGGCACCAAATAAAAAAAAAAACAAATACATACATAAATATAAATGATTGTCATTACCATGCAAGTCATTTGTGAATTCTCTTAAAATCGGCTGAAAAAAACAGCAACATAAATTCCATTTGAGTCCCCCGATCCACCCCTAAACCAACCACGTGCTGCGCCTACTGTTGTCATTTTCATTATATTCCCAACTTCCTCACTTTGTGCCTCCCAACAGAAATTTCCTTTTTCGTTGCATTTCCAGCAGCTGATTGGTGTTTGTATTCCGTTTAAGCCATATTGAAAATGCAACGCAACAACACTTTACCTACAGCATCCCAGAAACGTTGCTGGTGGCATGGCGCTAAAATCTGTCCCAAGTCCCCAAACAATTTTTTAAGATGTTTCATGACTTTTTTACGCGCCGCTGACTTTTCACCATTAATGCATGTTGTTACCAACCGCCGCCGCACCACAACGCCAGCGCATACTGTCCCATGCCGTTGCCGTTCCTCTTCTCCTTCTCCTTCCCTTACTCACGTGCACTTTGTGCACTGACACACACACACACACACGAACACGAACACATTGGCAGGCGTGCTTGGTTTTGGCCCAGCTTATGGCGCATAAGTCGCATTTGCCGCATCGCGTCACACTCAACTGCAGTGAAAACCAATAAAAAGCACAGCGCCACAGAGCAAAAGTAAACATGAAAATGCAAACAGAAGCAACAACAAAAACTTGTACGCAAAAAGTACAAAACACTCGCCATAATGGATAGTCATTGAGCTGGTGGTGGTGGTCGTAATGCAGCGTTGCACGTCGGCAGCTGCGTGTCACCAACTGCAGGGCAAGCAAACCGGCAGCCACCCAGCCAGCCAGCCAACCACCACCACCAGCCTTTGCATCAATATGCACCATTTTGCTGCCCCATGCGGCACGCGTCACACCACCATACCACACTACCATCCGCAATTACAAACACCATGGTTGAGCGTGTTGCGGTTATGAGAAGGCGCATTGAAAATACGAGTAGCATAAACGGCGTAGGAGAGGAGTGCGAGCGCAACAAAAAGGGATAAATATGCGGCAATGGCTGTGGGCGGTGTGGGACCTTCACAATTTACACACTTTGGGCCGACACCTCTTTTGCGGCATCGCCAAAGCGACGCCTTACTCTTAGCGCCGGAAGAAAAGCGTGAATGAGGAGTAGAGTGAAGGAGTCGTGGAGTATGAGCAGCAAGGAGATGCGCGGCGGTCGTTGCAACATTGTTGCAAACTTCATTTATATATTTTGCACTTTGATGTTTGTAATTTTTCTTTAATTTTTCATGTCATTTTCGATGTCTTCCAACAAAAAAAAAAACAAAAAAAAACATGGAGAGGGTAGTAAGCGGATGCAGATGCGCTGAGTGATTGGAATAACGAACAAAGCATTAAGTTGCGGAGATTTTGACAAAGAACATTTAGGTATACATACATACATATGTAAGTACATACATATATCGAAAAGCGCTTTGTGTTTATGTTGGGGTGTGTGTGTGTGTGTGTGTAAATATCTGAATATAATGCACAGCTTGACTTGTCAAAACTTTTAGTGAAATATGCTGCAGTTGGTTGAGGCATTTTAAATAAAGTGCAAACAGTATGTCCGTATATTTGGGCATAACTACATACATACGTACATACATATATTCATCTAGCACTTGCAACCATTACTTGCCCAACTAGGGTTATCAAAGCTTATGCAATCATAATGCTAGTCAAGTTGCAAGTGACAACTTTCGTTACAGCATCTATGCAAAAATATATCTGTGTTTGCATATGCATATATACATATGTATGTATGTATGTATGTAGTTGGGGTCACAGTCAGTCTACTAGCATAGCCGGTGCAAATTCATCTTGCTTGAATCATATTTCATGCAAAAGTGACAACAACTAAGAATTATTGTTCCTCCTCCTCTCCTCCATTTACGTGCGCTGGAGATTCCAGCATGCACACAGCTTTTTGTGACCCTTTACAGATATTTCTACAGACTACTTCATCCAAGGGGAATAAAGTAGCTGTAATGAAAGTTTGCTTGCTGAAATGGGCTCCTCCGCAATCCAGCAGACGAACAGTGATGATATTAAATATTCATATGATTACTTTTCAAATAGATTTATCACCTTCCAATTCTTCATCAGCAGACTATATATAAAGGCAAACGCGTTTGTAAAAATCCAAAAATACTTATCCCCTCTTGGAGGTAATTAATATAGTATAGGCACATTCTTTTTTTGATAAAATCGTTAAATATAAAACCAAAACTATAATAAACCTAGAAATGACTAGACAAAGTAAGCGTGGTTTCCATCTGAAAATCAATCTGAAACTTAATAGATTACTAGAAAACTCCAACCAAAACAAGAAAACAACTTTTTGCGTGCAATATATTTGAGGCCTTGAGGGCCGGAGTAGCCTAACTGACATTTCAAAAAAGCTAAGGTGCACCTTATAATGCACTACTGGAATCGAAACGGCAGTAGCCAGGAGCACGCTCTTTAAGTTATCTTTTACTATAATGCGTAAAGACCGCATTTATTTTTTACAGATCCTTCTTTTTCATATTACAAAACCAATTTATTTGTAAACAGGCTTCTCTGGCCCTCGTGGCCCCATTTGTTAATATATTTGTTAATATACTGTGTATTTAGTTATAATTTTTTTCGCCGTATTTATTTTTGTGTTTATAGTTTTATAATTTGTTTTTTACTAATTATTTGAAGAATTATCTTAGACTTAATCCCAATCTAAATTCATATCTTTATATTTAGTTTTTACCTTTCCCTTTCCATTATCACTTTTTATATTTTTATATAAGTATACCCCTACCCTTGTTTTTGTATTTATCTTTCACTTCAGCATTATCTACAATTTCATTTTCATCATCATCTTCGTCCAGGTCTTCATACATCTTCATCTTCATTTTCATTTTCACCTTCATCTTCACCTACCTCTTCATCCTTATCTACATCTACGTCTCCGTCATCTTCGTCAGATTTTTATTCATCATCACCTTTATCTTCGTCATGAGTTTCTTCCTCAGCTTCATCTTCATCTTCACCTTCATCTTCATCTTTATCTACATCTTCGTCTTCCTCTTCATCTTCATATTCATCATCATTTTCATATTTGTCTCTTCATCTCAACTCTTTCCTTGACTTTGATCTTCACCTTGATCTTCGTCTTCATCTGCACCTTAATCTTCTGTTTAATATGAATCTTAATCTGTCGTTATTCTTACACTTATTGTTATCTTTGGCTTTGTCTCTCTCCGGCCTAAGTAGCGTTCAACCCGGCCGCTCGTTTGTGTTCATGCATTCGCCTAATATGTATCATGTACATAACACCTTCACCATGGAGTTAAATATTTAAGCGGCCTATTTATGTTTGAGGCCATGAGAGCAGAAGTGGCCTAACCC